AAAGCCAAAGCGCCTCTCCAATGTTCACAGCGAACGTTCCCGGCCGCGCCCAAGGGCGCAGTGCTGCCAGAACGGGGTGGGGAGGTGCCCGAAATCAGTATTAGGGTTGAGGGCAGGGCGCAGGGAAGTCAGGAAGGACGCGCAGGCCGCTCGCCCTGGCCGGGGGCCCAGTTCCATGCGGCCTCGCACGCCTGCGAGTGCGGCTCTCAGCTCCCGGTTTGCTGGCTGTTGGGTCCAAATTGGTATTCTCGGCCTCTCAGAGGCCCCGGCGGCGGACTGGAGCAAAGCGGGGGGCGGGACGCGGGCGGAGCGTCGGAGCCCAGTCAGCTGCGCCAGCTTCCCGGCTCAGGGGACAGCGCATCCATGCCTTTGAGACCCGGGTCATAAAGGGATTAGCACTTTTTTTCCTTAGCCTCTCCCGCTCAGAGAGCTTCTGTTTCCTACCCAGTGAAAGCGGCGGGCACACTCTAGGTCCAGTGCCAGCACGGTGCAAGCCCGGGGTACTGGGGCGGTTGGTCTCTATTACTGCCCTCACTGAACGTGATTTGTCTTCGGTGGATGCGACACCGGTTCTCAGCGCCCAGGGCTTAAGGCCGGCCTTGGCCTCTTTTGCTCTTACTCATGGTGCCAGAAGGGCCCCTCAATCTCCCAGGCAGGTCCGAGAGGGATGTATAGATTTCATTCTCCCGTGGAGAACAGGTGGTCCCGAGATCAGGCCCCTTTTTGCTCTTTGTATTTTGTTTTGAAACTGTATTTAATGCTTTTTATATGAAAGGGAGAGGGGAACTGGCCCAATCACCCTTATGTGCAAATGTCTTATTTATTATGCGTGTTATCAGAGATAAGCTGTGAGGTGGTGGAGGAAAGACAGAGATGGGAGTATGGCCAGGGGATTGGGAGGATACTAAATATCCCCTGGCCTTGTTTCTAGGTCCAGTGTCTGCTCTTCACTAAGGGACGCCACTGCAGGCACTGTGCCCTCCTTTCAAAGTCAGGGTGCAGTGGTCAGAGGGTGGGACTTGGGAGGGGCCCTGGGTTCTGGGGCCAGTGCAGCCCCTGTGGTGAGAAAACAAGAAAAAGAAATCCCTTCTCTCACCTGCCAGAGCCCAGCTCAAGGTTCAAGTGCCTCAGGCCCAGTTCCCTAGACTTCCTGGTCGAATTGGATTTTATACCACGGATTTTATAGCATTTTTATATAATTTAATTCAAAATTGTCAGTAGGAAGGGACCTTGGCGATCACAAATTGATCCCTTTTGGAGAGAGGAGCAAAATTCCAAACCCCAGAAATTACTTAAGCCAGCTAGGAACAGGTCAAGAACTAGAATTAAAATCTCAACTCCCAGTCCAGTGAGCTTTGTAACTATGTTGCATTGCTTCCAATCTGGCAAGTTACCAAGGTTTCTTTACCCATTGAGCTTGCCAAGGTGTAGTTTGTTGGGCACTGCAGACCCACAGTACTTGTGACTCCCGAGGTCAGCAAAACATTGCACTTCCTGGGAATGAGGATGAAGGCAGCTTTCAGCACTGCAGGCCTGTGAGAGATCAGGCTTACCTCGCCTGGGACAGAGGTTTCTGCAGCAGAAGGCTGCTCAGTATTAGTGCTTGTTTTGAAGCCATCAGGTATTCTGGAACGGCTGCTGGCTCAGTTTAATTCCAGTTTTGACCAGCCAGGATTTTGGAGACTATTAGAATCTTGAGGACAGAGATTATGGATTGTGCCAAACTGGGCACTGACCTTTTTTACTTTTCATCATGCATGTTTTTAACAGTATTCTCTCCCACCTCTACACCACTATTTAGAAAGAGTAGGCAAAATCGGAGCTGCTGATTGTCATCGCCAGAGCTCACTGCTTAAGTCCTGGTTGATGGGGCAGAGGAAGCTCCCAGGCTAGCATCATGTTAGGCACCCTTGGGCCCACCTGATGACAATATCAAAAGGGTGGGACCCACAATGCATTTTGATAGGCCTTTCCCAAATATCTGCAGCTCCCAAGGAGGTTGTCTGGCAAGTACCTCTGCAGTGATTCTACCATGACTGGACCTATGGCCCAAAGGGTCAAGGGGTTGGTGGGTCTCCTCCCTCAGGATTCTGATTGAACAGGTGAAATTCCTTCATTTTTGTTTTGTTAATGGTATGCTTGCTATTATGGCCCATATGTAAATGTTACTCTGGATACATATTTATATGCCATGTTACTTAGTGACACTATTCAAACATTTGTATGTGTATTTGTGAAGTCTGCATCAGTCATTTAAAAAGTATTTCAGCCTAAGTTTTCCCGAGAGGTATGTTGAATAAAGTCTTAAAAGTCCAGCATGAGTCACAGCCAACTTAGTTTTGGGGCAGAGGAGTGAGAGTCGAGTTCTGATGTCAGACCAGATGTTTCAGTTTTTGGCTGCATGTGGTTTACAGGCTGCTTCCTACGGTAAGTGGGGACCCTTCCCATTCCCAGGCTGGTGAGAGGCTGAAGCAGGCCCTTTCACCCAAGTCACTTCTAAGGTCACCTTTTATGGAGACTCTAACTTCATTTTAGAAACCAAACGCAGTGCAGCTTTGCTCAGTGCTGTGGGAATCCTTGCAATCTTGGGAGTTTGTTTAGAAAGTTACCGGAATGAGGGTGGGAGTGAGTGAAAGCCTTTTGCTCTCACTTCACCCAAACTGTAAAAAGAATAAAGTTGCAGACTGATGAGACAGTCACTGTGTTCTTTATTTATAATTAATACATCAACTTGCAGTTTTACAGGGACCAAAAGAGCTCCTTGAGGCTACTGTATTTTTATGCTGCACGCACAGACACGTACACAATTTCATTAGTAACTTTTTCACCTATAGATTTTTCTTAAAAAAAAAAATTACTATGTGGCACAAAAATCTTTCCAATTATTTTAACAGCAGCAACAAAGAAAAGAGCCAGGTGTGGGGACTTCCAGTGCAGAATGGGTCCCTTGTTGGGAGGCCCCAAAGACCATCAGTGCATTCATTTCCTGGGAGGGCAGAGGATGGCGATGGAGTGTGTTCTACAATGGAAACCCGAAAATTCAAAATGGACAAGGGCAGAGAAACTAAGAAAATGGAGTAAGGCATTTTACCTATCAAAATCCTTAAGTCATTTCCCAAAAGGAGGGTAAAGAGGTTCCTTTCCTACTTTTAGTCACAGAACTTTGTGACCATTGAAGAGCTCCCAGCTTTTCCTCACAATAGGTAGGGCTGAGAAGTGAAGGAACTCTTGGATGCCGGTTTGCAAGCAGACTGGAATTTCTATGCTGAAGAAGGGCAATGCAAGGTCTCAAACAGAAATCAAGATCCCCAGTCAATCATAAATTATTCTGTTGTCTATCAACATCTCCTGGTCCTGCCTGGCTACCCACAACCTAAAACTTCTTGAAAATACTCTTCAAATGAGCACCGTGGGCCATGGTAGGAACTATGTCATAAATGTGTCTGAAAATGGAGATCCCCTCAGAACAACACTCACTCACAAGCTACCTGTCACGAGTCTGGAAATGTACCTCCCCCTCTAACCAACTGAGGCCTCTAGACTACAGACACATGACCTGTAGCCAATGGGAATTCAGTCCTCAGGCTAAACTTGCAAAGCACAGGTGGCCACAGCAGTGGAGAAAGCAGCAGGGAAGACACAGAAGGAAGGCTTTTTGTGTTCTTGTGCCTCATTCCCCACAGACTAAGACAGGGTTACAATAACTCAATGGCTGGGAGCCCACATGCAGATTATTTTTCTTAAGTTTATAGCAGTGTACAGCAGTTACAGACATTTATTTCATAATAAGAAAAGTACAACCATATTTATTAAACTTGAGGTAAGGTGGGCAGGGAAAAGAGGGAGAAGCACATTCTGGAATGATTTCTCAAACCAACACTCACATTGGTATCCCAGACCAATGGCTTGGACACTGCCCTCCCAGCTGGCAGAGCCCTTCCTTCTCTAGAAGAGCAGCAGGAAGATGACTGCTGCCCTCCTGCTGACTGCTCCACCCTACTCTGTTCCCTCTGTACTTCTCAGATGGCATTCTGGAAAAAGGGAATTACCTCTATCACCTGTAAGTTATTTAGAGTTGACAGTTCTTTCATTAGGGAGAGTGGCTGCTTAGCTCTAAGGCAGGAAGGTAGGACTGGAGGGCTGCACAAACCCAATGGAAGGAATCCCACTCCTGCCCCAGACAATTCATAAGTTAATCATTATTTCCTAGCTTAAAAATAAGGGCAAAAATATAAATGGGAACTGCATAAGAGTCCTTGAAACTGGATAGAGGACCCTAGAGACATTTCTCTCTTCTTTCTCCCCTTTCACGGTACAGGTAAAAGCTCTACCACTGTTATGGTCTGATTAATTCTATTAATTTGATTCACTCCTTATTCTTTTGGGTTCTAAGAGACCAGTTCTTTTTTTCAGTCTAACACATCTTGTGCTTGGTACTGAGGGTAAAGGGAAAAGCAGGGGAGAGAACACCAAATTAAAAAGAACAAACAACTTGGAACCAGGCTCAAGCTGACACTGAGCAAGTTCCTTCATGGTACAAGTGACGATGTTATAACTATTAAATGGCGTTTTAGTAACTGTTGCACTTCTGGTTTCCATGTGCTTATTCTGCCTTTTTTTTGGCGATTCCGGGAAGCTTTGCTTGGATCCTATTAAGAAAAGAAGAAGAAAACTGAAAACATTTGTTTTAAATATGCATTTGTTCTAGGTTTGTATTTCCTCCAGGATATCAGGTAGGGCTCAGCTATTGTCTGCCTGGAGGTCCCACCACACTGTCCTTGAACTCAAATACAGATCCATTTGCTTCTGCCTCCCAAGTCCTGGGATTACAGGTGTTTACCACAATGCCAGGATCTAAGCTTCACATTATTTAGTTACTAGAAACGACAGGGAGGAGTTGTCTTAACTTGGATACATATGAGAATAAAATAGGATTAAATAACCAAAAATTATATGACAGCCAAAGTATTTCCCTTGATGACTTTCTTGAGAGTTCAAAGATAGGATATTTAAGTTCAAGGCCAGCCTGGGCTGTATAGCAAGACCCTGTCTCTAAACCAAAGAAAACAAAACAAAACAAAAAAACCCAAAACCGGCCCAACAACCGAAACAACCAAAACAATAAAATTCAAAGATGATGATGCTTTTTTGTTGTTTGTTTGTTTGAAACAGGGTTTCTCTGTATAACAGCCCTGGCTGTCCTAGAACTTGCTCTGTAGAACAGGCTGGCCTTGAACTCACACAGATTCTCCTGCCTCGGCCTTTCCAGTACTGGGATTAAAGACAAGCACCACCACTGCCCACCCAAAGATGTTTCTTAACAAGAGGCTCAGATATATAAAACTATCTAAGGTTTTATTCAGAGTGAAAATTACTTTTGACAGTAACATTTTATAATGGAGTGTAGAAATTATGGGGGGATGGGTATAGTATATATGGGAAATGGTCAACATGGTCCCTAAGTGTACTTACTTTTCAACAATTGACTTGGTCTGATCCCGGGCAATCCCAACATAATGATCAATCTGCGTCTTTTAAGAAAGGAAGGAAGGAAGGAAGACTCAGAACCAGCGGGGCAACACAGGGGCTAAGAATTTTCTTGAAGGTTCCTCCCACACCCCAAGACAGGGTTTTGCTGTTGTGGAACTCGCTCTGTAGACCAGCTGTTCTTGAACTCAGATCTGCCTCTGCCTCCCCAGTACAGGGATTAAAGGTGTGCACTACCACGACCTGGCTGCCTTTTTTAAAATTACAGTATTTTTTCACACAATATATTTTGGTAATATTCTTCCTTGCCTTATGAAAAACTCCACTAGTCACTATTCTGGAAAATAAAAATGTCTAGATTTCAAAGAATTACAAGTTTCTGTTTTCAGATTTCAATTTATACAACACTTCAAAATAAAAATCACCCCTCATTTGTAGAGTAGAACGTATGCGGCATTTCCTTTATTAACACTGAAGTATCTTTTTTGAGTACTAGAAACTGCAGATTTAATCTACATTCTGTAGTTGTTATGTGTTATAGCTCCTGGGCATGATTAACTCATTTAATATGAAAAAGCCCCAAATCAACTTTTTCTACATAGCATCTCTTCACCTTCCTTTTTTGGAAACAATAATTCACCCCCATGACACAGAACACCTATCCTAGGCCTTCAGTCTTTGCTGGGAGACATGACTCTCAGTCTATTACTTTCTTTAAAATGAATCCAAGTCATTCACACATTTGCTTCCAGACAAATGCCTACCTTGTACTTCTCATAGACAATTGGGACGCTGAAAACAAGCAGCTCGGCTGTAAGACAGAATCAAAAGATGGCAAATGTGAGAAACTCAAGCAACACAGACATTTCTTCATGAGTACAAGGAAACAGAGAAAAAAAAAAAAAAAAAGAGGACAGCAGCCAGGAGAGAGATCAGGGTAGTGTTAAAAACCCAACAGGCTGCTTGCTTTCTTTGTATGACAGGCATCAACTTCTAAAATACAAAAGTGGCTTCTAAAAGCAAGGTCCCTAACTAAATCTAAACAACCCCTTACTTACAGTTACTTTGAAATCCACCACCACCACCCCCTCCCCGCTCTGCCCCCAGCCGGCCGGGTTTCTCTGTGTAGCCCTGACTGTCCTGGAACTCATTCTGTAAACTAGGCTGGCCTCAAACTCAGAGATCCTCCTGCCTCTGCCTCCCCAGAGCTGGGATTAAAAGCATGAGTCACTACTGCCCAATTCACTTTGAAATTTTCACTCTGATATTTCTTTGTCAGACCATTTAATAAAACACAGAGCTATGAGCCCAGGTTACTCCAACATCTAACACATACCCTAGACACCATAGGCTGGCCATGGAGTAAGTGGTTATGCCGTGTGCAAGTTCTTTAAGCAAGCACTCTACTCCTGGGTTACTTTTTTTTTGAGACAGGTTTCTCTGTGGTTTTGGAGCCTGTCCCGGAACTAGCTCTGTTTCGAAGAGATAAGAGCAGAGGGAGAGCTCTCAGAGGGAGAGCTCTCACCTTTGAAGGACATTTGTTGGGGAATATTATTATTATTATTATTTATTACTACTACTACTTTTGTTTTTTTCCAGACAGGGTTTCTCAAACTCACAGAGATCAGCCTGCCTCTGCCTCCCAAGTGCTGGGATTAAAGGCCTGTGCTGTCACTGCCCCCTTTTTTTTTTTTTTTTTTTTTCAATTGAGGGTCTCATATGTCCTAAGGGGGTCTAGAACTCATTATGAAGCTTAGCATGATACTGAATTCTGATCCTTCTGTTTCCATCTACCGAGTGCTGGGATTATACCAAGTGTGTATTTATGCCCGGCTTCCCCAGTTCATTTTGTAACTTTCACTTGAGACAGGGTCTTATTAAGTGGCCGGTACAGGTTTGATCCTTCTGCCTCAGCTTCTTCTTCCTTCTTCTCCCTCCTTTCTCCTCCTCCTTCTTTTTTGGTTTTTCGAAACAGGGTTTTTCTGTGCAGCTTTGGAGCCTATCCTGGCACTCTTTCTGGAGACCAGGCTGGCCTTGAACTCACAGAGATCCGACTGCCTCTGCCTCCTGAGAACTGGGATTAAAGGTGTGCGCCACCAACGCCAGGCCTGCCTCAGCTTCTTGAATAGCAGTGATTATAAGTCTGTACCATTTGGTCCAGAATTTACACCTGAGACTTAGAGAATACTTTAAGAAATAAACACATAGACACACACTTTCCTTGTGACCTTACCAAGAATCAGAAGGGTGATCCCATTAAAAACAGCACCAACATAGGTCATCAGCCACATGGAGACAGCCAGCTGTGAAGGCCAATGTCAGAGGGTTAGGCAAGAATAATGGTAACTCAGTTCAGGCTGTATGACACACTGTATGACTTGCATTTTATAGTCAGAAAACTCTCACTGTCTTGGGTGTGAAGCTGATGACTGCTGTTTCAATGCTACTCTTAAGAGGGAGGCAACAATTTTTTCTGTTGACACCAACTTCCCTTTAACAGGCTTTTCTCTTGTCTGGTAAAATCCTATATTCCTTGTTTGACCTCTGAATCATAGCCCAGCAACCAACCTTCAAGGAGTCAACCAGATCTTCTACCAGGAAGAGACGAATGATGAGTTTGAGGGCTCTGTTGACATGCACCATTGCAGCATTCATGTAGTTGTGGAAAGCTTCTGAGGAGAGGGTAATATCCACATCCAGGTAGGCCCTTCCAAGGAAGAAAAAATAGTCACATATACAACACATAAGGGAAAATTCTTCAACAACAGACACAGTGTTTTGTGTTTTTATGGCTTTTTTCGACAAAGGGTTCCTCTGTATGAAAGTTCACGCTGTCCTGGAACTCACTCTGTAGACCAGGCTGGCCTAGAACTCACTGAGATCTGCCTGCCTCAGTCTCCCGAGTGCTGGGATTAAAGGCGTGTGACATCACTGCCAGTGATGTCACAGTGTTTTCGTTTTTGTTTTTTTTTTTTTTTAACGAGAAAATGGCATTCTAGAAATCTTTAAGGGACACAGCTGTCCTTTAGTGGATAAAAAATATGCCAATTATCTGTGAATTGTAGGGCTTTTATGTATAATGAAGGACTATCTAGAGTGGACATATCAAAATCATTCTGTGGGAATGTAGATCATATAGCATAAGCCTTTGCCTAGCAGGAATGGGATCCTGGGTTCAATCCCCAACATTACAAAACAAGCAAAAACATAAAATTCATTTGTATGTGCATACCCATGTGGAGGTCAGAGAACAACTCTGGGTGTCATTTCTCTAGCACTGTCCACAATTTGTTGTTGTTGTTTGTTTCTCTGCATAACAGCTCTGGCTGTCCTGGAACTTGCTCTGTAGACTAGGTTGGCCTGGAGCTCAGAGATCTGCCTGCCTCTGCCTCCTAGCTGAGATTAAAGGCGTGGGCCACAACCACCCGGCTCTGTCCACCATTTTTAATAAACTTTTTTTTTTTTTTTTTTTGAGACAGTTTCTCACTGGCCTAGAATTCACTAATCAGGCTAAGCTAACTGGCTAGTAAGCCCCAGGGACCTGCTACCTGCTATCTGCTATCTCCTCCTCTCCTATACAAGTGAGCACCTTCTAGCTTTCTAAAATACATTGTTTTATTTTTAACACAGTGTGTGTGTGTGTGTGTGTGTGTGTGATGGTTTGAACAAAAATGGTTCCCATAGGTTCATAGGGAGTGGCACTATTAGGAGGTGTGGCCTTGTTGGAAGAAGCATGTAACTGGGGTTGTGTTTTGTTTGAGGTTTCAGAAGCTCAAGCCAGGCCCAGTGGCTCATAATCTCTTTTCCTGTTGCTGGCAGATCCAGACGCAGAACTCCCAGCTCCTTCTCCAGCACCATGTCTGCCTGGGTACCACCATGCTTCTTGTCATGATGATAATGGACTGAACCTTAGAACTAAGCCAGATCCAATTAAACATTTTTCTTTATAAGAGTTGCTGTGGTCATGGTGTCTCTTTACAGCAATAAGACATTGACTAAGACAGTGTGTATGTTTCTGTACATGTACAACACCATGGTACACATGTAGAGGTCAGAGAATAGCTTGTGGCAGTTGGTTCTCTCCTTCCATCATGTGGGTCCTGGGGACTGAACTCAGGTTGTCAAGCTGGAAGGCAAAAACCTTTACCTGCTAAGCATCTCTCTGGCTAAGAAAGACCCTTAACATGTTTCAGAACACCCAGAGCTATACAGACAGATCTTGTTTCAAATAAGCACCATCAAAACAAATCTAAAAGGATAAAGAGAGTAGGGACTACAGCTCGGTGGTAGAGCACTTACCTAGCATAAGGTAAATTTAATTTAAAAAGGGGGGGGCAAGAAAGACTTAAAAGGGTAGTGAACATGAGTATGCTAGGGCTGGAAATTATACAACACACTCTGTGTTTTGTTTTTAAAGGGTGAGATTTAGCCGGGGTTGGTGTCGCACACCTTTAATCCCAGCACTCCGGAGGCAGAGGCAGGTGGGTGGTTCTCTGGGAGTTCGAGGCCAGCCTAGTCTACAGAACAAGTTCCAGGACAGCCCAGGCTACACACAGAAACCCTGTCTTGAAAAACCACACACACACACACACACTTACAATAAGAATTTAAGGGCACATATGACTTAAGTTATCCCTTCTATTTCCAAACAGAATGTAAAAGCACCAGGAAAGAGCCAGTGGGCTATTCCAGAGAGGTCATAGCAGCGGTCTTTCTCTGAGACAAAGGGTTTTTATTGTATTTATTTTTGTTTTATTTATTTATTTATTTGACACAGGGTTTCTCTGTGGAGCCCTGACTATTCTAGAAGTCACTTTGTAGACCAGGCTAGCCTTGAATTTGGAGATCCTGAGTGCTGGGATTAAAGGCATGCAGTACCACTACCAGGAGACAAAGGGTTTTATAAAGTTGTTGTTTACTAAAATTCAAATGCAAATTTTTATGGGCAAAGAATTTCAACAGCACAAACACGAGGAATCATTTGTTAAAGCTACAGTACAGCCAGAAAGGCATTAAAATTTGCCAAAAGATTGGGTTCTGGGATGCCCTCTTCTGGCCTGCAAGGGCACCACACACATATACTGCACAGCCATACAATTCAGGCAAAACACCCACATACAAAAAAAAAGCCCCCAGGGGCTGGAGAGATGGCTCAGTGGCTAAGAATACTAGCTGCTGTTCCAGAAGACCTGAGTTCAATTCCTGGAACCCATAAGGCAGCTGGCTCTCCAGTTCCAGGGGATCTGACACCCTCACACTGACAAATGTGCACATAAAATAAAAATAAACAAGTAAAATATTCTTTAAAAAATTGCCCCCAGACCCAGGGAAACTACACAAGAGCTAAAGTAAATCAGAAATACAATCCAGAATTAACACAGAGTAAACTCCTGGTTCCAGAATTAGTTCAAAACTGTTTCTGGGCTTTACTATATAGGGCTGAAAAACCAACACAGTGGCTGACTGAGGGCAGCCCTGGGCAAGCTACTTTGTGCCCTGCTCAGGATTTGCAGCTCTCTTTATCCTTAAAGATGAGCCTCTAGCTAGTTTAAAGTCCTTAGATACTAACCGGATCACTTCTTTTTTTTTTTTTTTTTTTTTTTTTTTTTTTTTTTTTTTTTTTTTTAAAGGGTTTTTTTTTTTTCTTTTTTGAGACAGGGTTTCTCTGTGTAGCTTTGGAGCCTATCCTGGCACTCGCTCTGGAGACCAGGCTGGCCTCGAGATCGCCTGCCTCTGCCTCCCGAGTGCTAGGATTAAAGGCGTGCGCCACCAACGCCAGGCCTGATCACTTCTTAGGGTGAATGCAAGGTATTTAGGTGATGTTTCTGCCATCAATCAGCTGCAAGAGGTAGGTCAGAACTTCACACCTGAGCAATCTCAGCAAACTGTGGATTGTGATTTTGACTTACTTGAATGGATGGCCTTCTTCTGATTTCTGCACAGCTTGAATGACAGACTTGTAGACTCTGAAGCTGATGGTGACGGAGAGAAGAGCCAGGATGAGGTAAGAGACCACACTGATCACACTGAAAGCTGCCAGGGAGAGCAGCATGATCAGCGTGGTGCCAAAGACAAACCCAGTCTTCTTCACATCTCGCCAGAAAATCAGATCACGTACTGCCAAGAGAGGGAGTAGAAGTTAGAGAACCCAGGGCAACCATGTCTGTGCTGGACACGCTGCAGAGCAGTGTGTCCACCAGCACATATATGCACTATGCCTACTACAGAGATGGGAGACTAAGCATTTATTATTGCTACTGGGTCCACTGGGGTAAAGTGTCATCAATCTTTAACTTTTTTTGGCAGAAAAGATAATAGAGGTCATGGTAGTGACTCCATGGCAGACTGCTTGTTTACCAAGTGAGGTCCTGGGTTCTACAAGGAGTAGGGGTGGTAAGGGTAGCACAGATAGAAACATTTTAACAGCTGCTGACTACATGAAACAAACAAGTCAGACTATATGTGTCAGGATATTGAGACAGGAGGATCACTTGAGCCCACAGTTCACCAGAATAGACAACATAGCAAGACCCCATCTCAATCAGTCCATTAAATTAGACAATGCTTATAAAATGGTTAGATCCCAGACTCAAAGCCAGCACTTCGTGAAATGTACAAGTTGGGGTAAGAGAGAAAGTGGTGATAAAAACAGACCATCCTACTTGAAACACCAGTCTTTGTCTTAATCTGAAAACAGAAGGGTTATAAGTAGGAGACTATACTTACCCAAACCACAATGTATGTGCATGCACAGAACTGAGAAATCAAGGGCCTTATGAATGCTGAGTAAAACCACCTTCTTACTGAGCTACATATTTGTGGTCCTTTGAGGTACTGTTTTTGAAGTGATTTTTAATTGACACATTTGGGTGTGGTGCACATGTATATGAGGAAGCCAGGAGAGGCTTCAGTGTCATTTTTGAGACAAGAGTTTTTCTGTGTATCCCTGACTGTCCTGAAACACACTCTGTACACCAGGCTGGCCTCACAGGAATCTGCCTGCCTTTGCCTACTGAGTGCTGGAATTTAAAGCTAAACAAGCCAGGCAGTGGTGGTGCACACCTTTAATCCCAGTGCTTGGTTGGATCACTGTGAGTTAGAGGCCTGCCTGGTGTACAAAATGAGTTGCTAGGATTGTTACTCAGAGAAACCCTATCTCAAACAAACAAAAAACAAAACAACAAAAACAGGGTCTCTCACTGTTCTGGAGTTTGCTAACAGGGTATGCTGAGCCCCAGTGTGGTGGTATCTTGTTTATACAAATAAAGCATGGCTCTGGATTGCTCCTTCTGCCCCATGTTGGGCAACAATATGTAACATGAGTTCTAATAGGTCTTAATAATAAAAGCCAGGAGTCAGACACAGGGGAAAATGCTGAGAGGAGTCAGGGAGGAGGAGGAGGAGCAAGCCAAAGCCACCTTTACCTCACTAGCTTCCCAGTGGAAGAGAGAGAACAAGTTCCTGTTTTCTCCCGCCTATATTTCTTTCTCTGTTCAGCCTTCTCACTTCCTGTCTGTCTGTACAGACCTCCAGACCTCTATGGCTCGCTAGTGGGACACACCACCCTCTGATCTTCAGACACACTTTATTTGTACAAACAAGATATCACTGCACCCCAGGGATCCACCTGTCTCCCCTCTCTGTCCCCAGCACTAGGATTATAAACCTTCCTCCTCTCCTTCTTACACTAATTGTGGATTCTAGGGATTAAACTCAGGCCCAGAACTTTACTGAGCCATCTAGCTCTTTGGTATCCTGGCACCTCTTTATTTTTGGTTTCATTATTTTGGGTTATTTTTTATACCCCAACATTGAGCTCCTGATCTCCTAAGAGCTGGAATTTTAGGCCTGTAACACCCATCTGTCCAATACATTAAAAAAAAAAAAATCTTGACACAGGGAAATTGCCTAGCCTGGCCTTATAAAAATGGACAAGGCTTCTAGAATTGGACAGATCTGAGTCTTGGAAGGAGAGGTTCTGTGATTCCTGACAGAACAACTGCAGTGGTTTTGCAAATCAGGGGAAAACAGGGTGCCACTTAGGTGCACATGACTGAACTGAGACTATACAAGAAAACTAAACAGAACCAGGCCTACTAAAGGGGACCAGTACTAAGCAGGACAATTCCTACGGTCAGAGTTCAGGTACATACACATATCAAAATTCATTATGTCTGTAAGTGTAGTTTCAATACAAAATGCAGAGAGGCTCCATGTCACCACCAGCAGAACAAATAGATGGTATGTGCTCCTAGGATATGACATATCCTAGGACATGATCCTGTTTCTATAGAGTTCTAGGCACAAATACATACCTTGTATTTAAAGAGAAAATAACTGAACATACACAACTGGAGAAATATACTCTAAAACAACTATCTATCTATCTATCTATCTATCTATCTATCTATCTATCTATCTATCTATTTTTGGTTTTTGCAGACAGGGTTTCTCTGTGTAGCTTTGGAGCCTACCCTGGCACTTGCTCTGGAGACCAGGCTGGCCTCGAACTCAGAGATCTGCCTGCCTCTACCTCCTGAGTACTGGGATTAAAGGCGTGCGCCACCAATGCCCGGCCTAGCTATCTATATTCTTAGAAGCTAGTATAACATATAAACAACAGGGGGCTAGAGAGATGGCTTAGAGGTTAAGAATACTAGCTGCTTGCTCTTCCGGAAGACCCTCAAGTTCAGGTCCCAGCATTCTCGAAGGGTAGTTCACAACTTCAGTTCCAGGGGATCTGATGCCTTCTTTTGACTTCAATGGGCACCAGGCACACACATGGTGCACATATATACACGCATGCAAAACACTCAGAAGCTGTAAAAGGCCACTGTGTCCTCACGGACTTTACTGCCATCTGCTGCAAAGTTGTCAGAAAAGATAGTCAAACCGACAATGATTACACATGTGACTAGTGCCCCCTGGAGGTATGCAGAATATAAACTGCATAACAGAACAGAAAGGCCCTCAAAATAATCAGTGTGGGAATTAGGGTCTGGGCCAAAAGAGGATTTACTGATGAAAGAGGGAACAGCAGATAAAGGGCATCAATAGGCTGATCTACATCAACCCTCACAGCTTGTTCCTTTGCTCCTTCAGGCCCCAGCCCATTACTTCCTGTCCTACTACACACTCTGTATCTATATGCCTTTACAGCTCTATTTCTCCTCAGAGCACCCTATGTGCTTCCAACAGTCTCCTCAAACTTGTGGCAGGTCCAGCTGGTAACCCAGAGCCAGCATGACTACAGCTTTCATCCACTTCCTGACACTGCCCCTCACACAGGAATATGTCAAATGGAGACTAAGCAGTCTCAGCACACAACAAAAAAAGGGGGGAGGGGGGTCTGGCAAGGCCTTTGGAAACTTTTACCTCTCTGGGTCTCTGGTAAAGTTAGGAGGAAGAAAAATATGAGAAAAAAAAGTAAGAAACAGAGCAGCAGCTGTCAGCTCTCAAAGTTTAATATATGAAGCCATTAGATCGGATGTTCGGTTTATAGCCAGGAAACCAGCAAGAGGCTGCAGTGGTTCTGTTTCCATAAATCTATTTTTTATTTTTATTCATTTGTTCCCACTGCCAGTACAACTTTTAAAATAGCAAATTAGCTAAGTACACCTGCAATCCTTGGGGGTGGAGGCAGGAGGGTCAGGAGTTCAAAGTTATCTTCACATCCCAATCAGCTGAGATTAGAGGTATACACAAATTACCAAGCCGGTGGTGGCATTATGCCTTTAATCCCAGCACTCAGGAGATAGAGGCAGGTGGACCTCTATGAGTTCCAGGACAGCCAGAGCTGTAACACAGAGAAACCCTATCTCGAAAAACTAAAAATAAATAATCTCGAATATATGGTGTTAAGGATCAAACCAAGGACTTCCTGTATGCTAGACAGGCACTCTATCAACAGAGCTGAATCTCCTCTTCCCACTTTTTTCACTTTTTAATTTTGAGGCTAGCCTTGGGGTTTTGACTGACTCAGCTTCTTGAATAACTGTGATTAAAAAGCCTGTGCCACCATGTGTATCTCTTTCAAGGGATGGGAAAGAAGACAAGAGGGGCTAATATGGTATGAATCTGACCAAAACTATACATATATCTCATATATGTATATGAAATGTCACAAAGGAATTCATCATTAGCCTCTTTAGCTGGTAATGTACAAAGTTCTGAAGTACATGAGTTTTCAAGCCTTTGCCATCAAATGAACAGCTGGGTGATCTGGGACAAGATGCAGAACTTCTGTTCTCAATGTAAGACAGGGATGCTGCAGGATTGAATGGTGAATGTGGGAGCACCAGAGCACCGCTGAGTAGGTAGCTAGTGACTAATGTTAGCTATTAGTACTCATTTTGCTGTTAGTCTCAGCACACTTACAATGGAAAACTGATAAGCAAATGTTTGCCAAAGAACTAAAAGTTTTTTTTTTGTTTTGTTTTTGTATTGTTGCTAACAGGATTGGGGGATCGGAAAGGAACTTTTAACTAAATTTCTTTTGAAAACTTCTATTTAGAGCCAGGTATGTTGTTAATTCCAGCACGGGGGAGACAGAGGCAGGAGGATCTCTGAGTTCACAGCCAGCCTTGTCTACAGAGTGAGTTCCAGGGCTTCAGAGAAACCTTGTCTTGAAAAATAAACGAAAGAAAATTTTATTTAAAGATTTTATTATTTTTATTTCATGTGTAATCTGTGCTATGCACTGTTTGTGTGCAGTTTCCATGGAGGCCAGAAGACAACATTAGCTCTCAGGGAACTGTAGTTACAGATGGTTGTTAGCCACCATTTAGGTGCTAGGAATCAAACCCTTGTCTTCTGGAAGAGTAATCAGTGCTCTTAAGCACTGAGCCATCCCTCAAATCTCATTAGTTATTTTTCTATGCTTCTGAGAATATTTATGTTGCTGGTGAATTACAAGCTATTCCTCCCTACTTCCCACGTCTTCTATAATATGGCTGTGATAACTATTCTTAGTTATCAACTTGACTATGTCAACTTAACTACAAAGAAGTGGCAAGACCTACTTTTAATATGGATCTTTTGAGATGGGAAGATCTACCTTTAATCTGTGCCACACATTCTGCTGGCAGCCTATATAAAGGACATGGAACAAGGAAGCC